GAATACTAAGAACATATAATAAATACTTCTCTAGCATTGACCCTTTTTGCATGACCAAGACCAAATTCAAAAAAGCTGTCTCTGAAATCTTGGCAGATGGCATTGACTAATAATTTGAATAAATTTGCTTACTAGGTTGAAGTTGTGACACACACACACACACACACACACACACACACACACACACACACACACACACACACACGCACTTCCTCTCATTCTCATCACACTAATACCCAATATACGGTAAGTGGTAATACACAATACAGTAAACAGTATTCGTAATATCAACATACAATACTTACAACATCGACGTAGATAAAGTTATCTTATGTCATACGCTGTAAACTATTTGTTAACGTAGCTGAAGACAAAAAAAAATTTTGCAAAAAAAAATAATGTAAATCTATAAAGGCTTCTATATAACATAAAATGTTATCTCGTTTATATATTGGTAAATGTACAAGCTGTAGATTTTGTTACAATAAAAAAAAAATATTATGTTTAGTATTTATTGTCGAGTTACAAGATCGTACCAGGACAAATTTAATTTCATTTTATATTTTCTATTTAATATTTACTATTTAAAGTAAGATTGTAAGCAATACATACAACCATATCTAAAAAGAATAATGTGGAAAGGGTTTAAACAGCGCAAATCTGTGTTAATGAGCCAACACGAATGAACCCGCTGAGTACCACATGCCACAATTTTTTTAATGACGCAAACATAACCTTTGGGTAATGATTTCTTATATTTACGCGAATCCTACACATTGAATAAAACTACTTTTACGGATTCTATCGCGTTTAATTAACTTATTTTTGTTTATTCCCTACGTTTCGGGTGCTTTACAGCACCCATCCTCACGGGGGCTGAGGTGATTGACGTCCCGATGTCAGAGTTATAGTGACAAAAACCCTTCCGATAAAATTTTTCAGAGAATCGTGACGGGAAAATCTTCCAGGACTTTTCTACTTTGTCAGTTCCCCCGATATATTTATAGATCACATCTAAAAACTCTCATAATATTCCCTTCACTCGTTTGTTTGTCTGATTTCCTGACAAATTGATTTTTTTAATTCAGATTGGTGTCTTTCTAGATCTTCGCGACATTTAAAAGTACAAATAAATCATCATCATGTATGACAAAAGTGCTAATTCCACGCCAAGGAAATCGCGAGCACAGCTGTATATAAAAATGTAAAGACAGTTATTTCTTATGTTTACACAAACACTATACATTGAATAAAACTAATTTTACATATTCTATCACGTTTATTTATACATATTTTTTAATTTCCGACGTTTCGGGTGCTTTACAGCACCCATGGTCACGGGAGACTGAAGTGATTGATGTTCCGATGTCGGAGTTAACCTTTTTTTAATATATGATAGGGTGACAAACGAGCACACAGTCCACCTGATGGTAAGTGGTTACTGTGACCCATAGACATCTACATCTATCATCAATAAAGACTCAAGATGCAGATGCGTTGTTACCCGTGAGGGCTAAGATGGAATGCCTCTTTGCCAGTAAAAAGGGTCTCCGGTTCTCTACACTCACCATACGAAACACAGCAGCGTTAAGCTGCTATTTTACACTGGTTTTCTGTGAGAGCGTGGTCCTTCCCCGGTCGAGCCGACCCATTCCTGCTACAAGTAAACTACTAATATAGCTGCAGCATGGCTCTACCACGTACCTGGAGTACCTTCAGCTTTTATAATTATTAGAATGAACTTACTAAGTAAATTCATTCGTCGTCTTGAAGTCTTGCAGTGATATGATTCGGTTAGTTTTAATTTTATTAATAACAGAATCCCAAGCAGGTGGTAGTACCCAGACTCTCTCTCTCTATTGAAAATAGGATGATTTTTAATTTCAATAGCCTCACGTATCGTCCTTGGCAGGAATCGGTGTTCTTTCGCAAGAATTTGTGGTCTATCAAATCTAATGTAATGGCGGAGGTCCGTCTAGGATATGATCATAAATTGCAGACATCCGGAACGTTGGTGTTAACGTCAGCTATGTGTTCTTTTACGCAGGTTTTGATAGATCGTTTTGTTTGCCATATATATTAGAGACCACATTTACAGTCAAGCTTGTACACTCCTACATCTTGTAGAGGAATATAGCATTTGAAGGAAAAACTGACTAATCTTCTTCGGCAGCTTGAACAATGTTCTAATAGAAGCTTGCTTCAAGATGTAGCCAATCTTGTCTGTGACACCTCTGACATATGGTAGTACAACAGGCACACGCTCGACTGTGACCGGCTTCTCTCAGTCAATGTGACGTATGCGCGGGACCCGAAGCTTTTTGTTGTGCAGAATCTGCTTGACGTGTTGAAACTCGGCGGCCAGGTGTTTGCTGTCACACAGATCCCTCATGCTCTCTATGATAAAAATTTGCCCACGGTAGCTAACTGTGAAGTGTGATGATGAAGTTCACTGTCTAAACATCGGTTCGTATGTTTTTTTCCGTACACAGTATGACCGATGGCTTTGTTAGGATTTCTAAAGATTAACATATCTAGGAAAGGTAAAGAATTATTTGCCTCTTACTCCATAGTAAATTGAATTTTAGAGTTTATGGAATAAAGATGTTCTAAAAATGCAGTTATTTTGTCTGATGGTAAAATTGTTAAAGTATCGTCTACGTACCGCATGCACAAGCTTGGAGTTACAGGTGCAGTAAACAGGGTTGTCTGCGTCCTCTATGAAAATGGGATATACCGTTGAGCCCTTCGTAACACCATCTACTTGCTTGTAAAACTCTTCCTTCCACAATTGATATCAGATGTAAGGCAATGTCTGAGTAATACTGTATATTCTGCTGGCATGTTGTTTTCCTCTAGTTTTCTAGTTTTTTTTTATAGGATAAGGATTACAAATGAGCACACAGTCCACCTGATGGTAAGTGGTTGCTGTGGCTTATAGACATCTACATCTATCTTTGGTTAAGAATCAAAATGCAGATGCGTTGTCACCCGTGAGGTCTAAGATGGAATGCCTCATTTCCAGTAAAAAGGGTCTCCGGTTCTCTACACTCACCATACGAAACATAGCAGCGTTAAGCTGCTATTTTACGCTGGTATCCTGTGAGAGCGTGGTCCTTCCCCGGGCGAGCCGACCCATTCGTGCTACCACCATAATATAGCTGCAGCATGGCTCTACCACGTAGTTACAATCATGTAAATAGAGAATAAAAAGCAAAATTGGGCGTGTTTCGATTGTCAGTAAGACATGTCACTGACAAAATGTGTGTGCTCTTGGTAAAAATTACTTCGCGAACATCCTCGATAAAATAAAATTATGTATCTTACCTAGTTTGAAGAGCACCTGCCGCCTTCCCTCAATTACATGCACTATCCCTGTCACCACTTATCCTAGCACCACTACTCCCAACACCACTACACTAGGAATGACACACCATTGACGACAATACGACACGTGTTTCACCTCTACACGAGGCATGTGGCAGACCGCTAATTGAGCGGCTAGCCAAAACAACTGCTATTTATACAGCCCGCTGACGCAACCGCACCCTGCTTAAGCAGCGAGCAACTGCGTCATGTGATAAAACATGTGACCAATCACCACAATTAAAAACAAACCGCCGCGTAATGCTCGCCTAACCTCCAACCACACAACCAATCGCCGATCACCGTGAGGGTGACAAACGACCATATTGCGAGACTGTCTATTATTAGAGAGCAGGCTTAAAGATATTTAAGAGATTCGAGTTAGAAACATTTGTTTATTCATTCAGAAGTGCAACGTTACTATTATTATTTTTTAATATCTCTAACTGTTCCAGCACACACAGTCGCAGTTTAGTATTACACGATTGTAAGACTTTAAAGGAGTGGTCGTTGGCTAGTTTGTGTCCAATGTCCAAAAGATGTTTAGCAAAATGGTATTTATCGGGATTGCAATTATTGTACACGGCTAAATGCTTTTCATAACATGTCTCGAAGTTGCGACCAGTCTGATCGACGTAAACAGCGTGGCATTCGTCACAAACATGTTTGTAAACACCCAACTTTTGACGAGTATTTAACTTATATTAATTACTTCAGATATTCCTTAGAGAAATATTTGTTTTGAACGCCACATAAACGCCGCTTTGTTGAAGAGTATATACTAGATACTTTTCCAAATATGGGGCTTAAGCAGGTCAAATTGCTCACATATCGACGAGCACTTTGAGGTTGAACCGCGTACAGAGAGTCGCGAACGACATGTTTTTGTTTTGTTTTTAATTAAACTGTTAATGAGATTTTTTGAAAAACCGTAGGAGTCCGCTATTTGATAAATTACATGAAGCTCTTTTAAATAATTCTGTTTATTACGTAAGGTTTTCATTGTATTAAATTAAAATAATAAAGATTTAATTTCGGCGCTGAGCTTCGACGTAACGTAGACGAAACCTCTTGACTTATGGCCTATAAATCTTCATTACCAATATTATTTTTATACAGACAGACCTCAACGCTACAGATAATGTCTTCATACAAAACTTTTCGTAGTTTAAATGCGAAATTCATACTAGGTAACTAGCCTGATTGTCTGATGTGCTCATAAATGTCATTCATTTTGGTCCGCAAGTCATTTGCATAATCGGTTATACTGCGTGGGGCATCAGATGATATTCCGGTGATCGGAACTGCAGGCAGCCGTAATTCTCTTCCAAAGTTTGCAAAAGCTGGTGTCAGTAATGTACTTTCGTGAACAGCGCTTCGATACAACATCAAAAACGGTGGTATGTGCTTGTCCCAGTCACGTTGCTAATTTACTACAAATTTTGCTAGGTACCTCTCCATTGTCTGATTAAATCGTTCTACCATTCCATCAGATTATGGGTGGTAAAAATTGTTCTTGTTTTATGAGTATTAGAGACTCAAAATTCCTTCCTTGATCGCTGTGAATCTCTTAAGGTACCTCAAAATGACAGAATACTTCATGAACTAGTTTATCTGCAACTGTTGAAGCTTTTTCATTTTAAATGGCGAAGGCTTCTGCCTAATTTGTGAAGTAATCGATCACATACCATGGAATACTTTTTACTACTTTCACTTTCCGGAAATGGCCCCAGAACATCAAGGGTTATCCTCTCCCATGGTGCACCAACATTGTACAATTTCAATGCACCTCTACTACGAGTCTGAGGTCCTTTTACTGCCACACATCTTATACCTTTGCGATGACACCAGTCCTTGACATCATCACGACAGTTCACCCAGTAAAACCGTTCTGGGATCTTCACTACAGTTCGTTTAATCCCCAGATAGCCTCCTGAACAACCATTATGATACAGCTGTAGAACATCCGGTACTTTAGCTTGAGGAACAACCATTTGCAAATGGCAATTATCTCCCCGACCATTTTCCCATTTACAGCACAGGACTCCATCCTGAACCAGCAAGCTGTCCCATTGGGCTCAATAGCTTTTCGTGTTCTAACTCATCGCTAAGATGTCGTTACACTTGTGCGTAGCACTGGCCTTCATGTATTCCATAATCGGATTTATGTCCGAACCCTCCTGTTGTGCATGTTGTAGGCTGTCTTTCCGCTTATTGCTGAGCTGGTTTGTCCTGAGCATCCTCAAAGATACCAATTCCTTACACTCTTAACTAGTGCAATGTTTGAAATCTTCAAAACAAGGTCTTCGTGACAATTCATCTGCGTTGCTATGAGATTTCCTGCTGCGATGTTCGATCACAAAGTCGTATTCCTGCAGTAATTGAATTTATCTCGCAACGTGTTCTTCTGGATTTATGAACTGCAAGCCATTTCAGTGCAACATGACCAGTTTGTAACTGAAATTTCCGCCCCAGTCGATATTTGCTAAAATACTGCAACGACTTTATTACAGCAAGCAATTCCCGTCTTGTAACACAATAGTTCCTTTCCGGCTTTGATAACGACTTGCTGAAGTATGCTATCATAACCTCTTGATCACCACTTGCTTTTGTATCAACTATAAATTCTATGCCCGCATCAGGGTACCCCAAAATATGTCATTTGCACAGACAGTCCTTGAGCTCCTAAAATGCGATATTACAACTTTCATCCCTGCAGTAAATATCGCTTCTCCTAGGTTAGCTTGTGCAGAGGTTTGGCTATATCTGCAAATTTATTCACAAATCGTCTATAATAGAAACACAAACCAAAAGATGCTCTAACCTGCATCTTGTTTTTTGGAACCGGCTAATCCTTGATAGCGGTAATTTTCTCTGGATCAATACGAATAGCCGATTCCGACACTACATACCCTAAAAAGCTAAATTGCCGTTTGAATATTTAACATTTATTCGGACTCAACATGAGGTTGGCACTCTGGATCTTCATGAGCACGCGTTCCAGGTTTTTATGGTGTTCCACAAATGATCGACCTACCATGATGATGGTATCCAAGTAAACTAGACAAGCATCACCAATTAGCCTGGTATTTACAAGCTCCGGTAAATCAACCTTTCAAACGTTGCTGGAGCATTGCACAATCCAAATGGCATAACTTTAAATTGCCACAGACCCTTTCATGTCAAGAATACAGTTTTTTCCTTGTCCTTGGGATCAATTTCAACATGCCAGTAGCCACTTTTCAGGTCCAGCGTGCTAAACCACTACTCCTGTAAGCATGTCCAGCATATCATCAATTCGTGACATGGTATAGCTGTTTTTCCTCGTAACGTCGTTCAGACGGTGACAGTCAACACAAAACCGAATGCGGCCGTCTTTCTTTTTTACCAGCACCACAGGCGAACACCTTGGACTAGATGAAGGTTTAATAATACCATCCTTTAGCATTCCCTCAATCATGCTTTTCACTTCCTTTTCACGTGCTACTGGCAATATTCTTAGCCGCTGACGGATAAGCAATACTCGCCGTTTTCTATAATCTTTTCCTCCACCGTTTTCCTGCAATGTCGGTGCTTTTGACCAAGGTTCGAGACCGCTGCGCTGATCGGTGACTGTCATCAAGTTAATGCGTTCTTGGTTGTATGCGGAGTCCCCAAGGATCTGATTTATAAGTTGGGAACTGACAACCGTGCGGGAGGCTCCAGTGTCTATGGTCAGTTTACACAACGTTCCGTTGACCTGCCCCTTGACGATTAGGCCGTTCCCATCATGGGTTTGTGAGATCTAAATCTTTGGAGCTCTTTTAACATCGAGTTTTTAGGGCAGCTGGATTGAAAATGGCCCCTTTCCCCACAGCCGTAGCACCTAGACCTGTGGATACAGGTCTAGGTGCGGTTTATTATACCGGTTTATTGCGGTCAAGAACTAAAAAACATTCCGTAAGTTTTTAGCCCGATATATACTATGTGTACCCTGATAACTAACGAAAAAGATCTCGTAAAAATCTTCAACGCTACTCACACATTGCTGGGTATCTTACAGCCTATATATGTCCCACACTAGGTACATGCATCTTCTCATTATTGAGATGGTTATAGGACATGTAGTAGTAAGTAAGGACATGTCAGCAGACTTAACATATCTTCGAAATATTATTTTTGTTTATTCATTTTCAATTTTATGTTTATTTGTAGCACGTGGGAAATTAGCACCTAAAATTGCAATTAACGATTTTATTGGTGCCGGTGGGGTTCAAACCCGGGTTGCTCGCGTACTGTGAAATTTACAGCGAGCGCTAAGCCCATGAGCTAATATGGCTCTTTCTTACATTTGGGTTATTTATACTACATACGTGGTAGAGCCATGCTGCAGCTATATATTAGTAGTATAGTTGTAGCACGAATGGGTCGGCTCGACCGGGGAAGGACCACGCTCACACAGAATACCAGAGTATAATGGCAGCTTCACACTGCTGTGTTTCGTATGGTGAGTGTAGAGAACTAGAGAACCATTTTACTGGAAAAGAGGCATTCCATCTTAGTCCTCACGGGACGTATCTGCATTGTGATTCTTTATTGAGGATAAATGTATCTATGGGTCACAGCTACCACAAACCATCAGGTAGACAAAATCACAAAAAATAAGATAATGCTTGGCAACCGCAGTTTTTTATTGTTGTTTTGCTGTTATCAGAAAGATGCTGCTGCCTCAGTTTCCCTCAGTCGCTTCTTAAGACACACACGGGAAGATATGGAGTTAGTAAGTATTCTTACCCGCCACTACACGGGATATTTAATGTGTGGTATTACTGAAGGGAATACCACACATTAAATAAAATTAATGTTATGGTTCCCCGTTAAATTATAAAAGTTGTTAATTAAAAATGAATTCTATATTTACACACTACAGCTATATTATTGTTTTACGTAGGTCACTCAATAAGTTTTGAGATATTTAAAAAGTATTCTAGATACTATTAATAATTATTTTACATCTTTTTTCGCCTAAACCATTTGCCTAAACCAACTCTGAAAACACTTTTGCCAGTCTTGATCTGACAGGTCGGAAATCCCTTCTCCGTGGGCAGCCACTGCTTCTTCGGCGCTTGAAAAAAACTTGCCTTTTATTTTTCTTAGACTCTTGGGATCAAAGCTGTTGCAATCTCCCTGACGCGATGGAAACGATGATCCTGCCGCACGGCTTATACCTCCAGTGCATTGGCCAAGGTGTCCTTAAGCGTCTTGTGGTGCCCGAGTCTCACATCAGCTCTGACTTCAAGGTTGCGGATATCATCAATTAATTTTTGCACCAGGTTCCCTTGAATGAGAGCAGGTACAGGCTGGCTTGCCTTTCGAACCAGCTTCTCCACCTCAAGGACGCACTGCTGCAGGTTTTCGTTGCTGCCTTGCACGCGATCTTAGAGCTGCGCACGAAAAACCTATTGCAGGTGAGTGTCGTCATATTTCTCCTCCAATGCCTCAAGTCGCTGCTCTTAAATCACTACCTTACCGAGAGCTTCCAGAGCAGTTAAGGTCTGGTCCCTCAGGCCTAGGGTGAGAGCTGTCATAACCTCACTTTTATTCCAGCCGTTCGCCTTCATGACAGCCTCGAACTGGATTTTGTAGGCAAACCAGGAAGAAGTCCCGTCGAACGGCGGCAATTTGAATCCACGTAGCAAAGGTGTTGTAGCTACCATGAAAGCTGTTAATCCATCCCTAAGTTTTAGGTTGTCCAGCATGGTCCTCACGTCAACCATCACGTTGTCAAACCGATTGTTTACTTGGTCAATTCGGGTTTCAGACCCCGCCCGACAGGCGGTTGTCATGTTGAGCAATGCTGCAAAAATGCCCTATGCTTCACCTCGCTTATCCCGTTCCCGACGGTAGCGTGAAGGTCCTTCATGAGGAGCATCTGCACTTCCTTATCGCGTTTGAGCTGCTCTTACAAACAACGGGCCTGTTCCTCCTGTCCGCGCTGCAACTGCTTTTCCATACGACGGGCCTGTTCCTGTTGTCGGCGGGGATATTCGTCCTGTTGGTGGGCATGTTCGTCCTATCAGCGGGCATGTTCGTCCTGTCGGTGGGGTGCTGCAGATGAAGTAGTTGCTGACGCCCGGTCTTCATGGTTAGCAGCTGGCCCTCTGACTTCTGCGGCTTTGCAGCACCAAATCGTCTCTGGTCAGTCTCCTGCTGGCGTTGACTTCGCGTACGGATACTCTCCGTGTCGTTATTAGGTAAAAACGACATGATTTAATCCCACTTCTGATACCAATTGTTATGAGCTTGAGGTTCGAGACAAGTAAAACTGCCGAGTGAATCACCAAAATTGACACTCACAGAACAGACAGAACAGAACTACTACAATTCAATACAACGCTACTTACATACAACTTAAAACCACACTTAATAACAAAACACAATTGCACTACTGATCACTTTAGTTCGCAGTTGTATCGCTTCGAAGTATTCGCTTGTATCACGAATACAATACTGACCTCGGTCACGGTCTATACTGGCTTTATATAGGACCTAAGATAGTTCAAGAACATTCTACTGTAGAAACATCTAAAATGCTCAAATGCCAATTCTACACTGACCTGGATCGCAGTCTACACCGGATTTATATAGGGCCTTAGATAGCTCCAGAACCTTCTACTGTAGAAACATCTAGAATGTTCGAGGACATACCGGTTCCGATTGACTAGGTGTCGCTAGTTCTAGAAAGTTATTCCATGGAAAGATCTTGACTCTCCTAGTTCTGCTACTCGATACTAGAAGGCGCTAGTGGTAAGCAGTGTTGCCATATACCAGACACAACATTATTATGATTCTTAATCTTCATAAATGTAGATGTCTATGAGCCACAGTATCCAATTACCATCACGTGGGCCATGTTCTCTATGCGGCGAACCCGCCTGCCTATGAGACAATTTATGGTGGAGATTTTTTCTGTTTGAGTCTACAAATTTCTTTATATAACCATAATATAGATCAG